GAAATGGAATAATTGCCACGCCCTCTACTCTCGTGGGCGGAAACATTAAATCTCATCCGATTTCGATGAAATTTAGTTTGTAGTCTTTATTTTATTAGAAAAATCTAAATTTAATAATTTATTTTTGAGCTTTAGGCCGTATGTTAATAAAACATTAAATGTTTTTCTGCTTTATTTATTTAGATGCCTTCAGACTGAAGGCGAAATATCGACCAAAATAAAACTAAAAAGTAAATAAAGCAGAAAAACATTTAATGTTTTACTTAACATACGGCCTATAGCTCAAAAATAAATTATTAAATTATACTAAACGGCCAATAAGCAACACAATCATGAAAAACCTAAATATAAAATATGGGGAAGATTGGATTACTATAACGTTCAAAACTCACAAAAAATGTGGGCGCAGTCATTAAATGCGATGGAATTTTGGGTAATTTTTGTTTCGTGCTTTCCACTCTCAGAAAACAAAGGTTATACAATAAAATGACTTAGGTGTCAATACTCGCTTTTTTCCCAATATCTGGTGGGATTTTTTCATTGTTCGAAAAATTCATTTCGCTAAATTATGCAAAAAGAAGCTGAAAATCAAAAACTAAGAAAATTAAAAATTACATTCGAAAACTACATAAAATTCTCTAAAATATTAGTCTAATTTCAAGACCTGACGGACCGGTACTCACACTTTTTTTTACTAATAATCTTTAGCATCTACATTTCAAAGTAAATTTTTTGGTAAGAAAATAGGAAAATACCAAATAAATGATAAATACCTTCACCTGAATATTCCATGACATTTAGATAATTAATAACAGTTGAAAAAGAAACACTTTCTGTAATGGGTTCAGCGCCAAATGCAGCTAAACTGATTAGACGGTATCGCGCCCGTTCCCGTATTTTTTTGGAAATGTATCGTTCGTGAAGAAGGGGGGTAAGTAAATAATGTAAAATTTGGTACTTATGACTTTTACTATTCCCTCTCTAAGTCAAAGCGTTTTTTTTACCAACTGTCACCATGACTTTTTTCTACCTGCCTCCATATAGTCGAAACACTGTGCGCCGTCGGGTTTTTTTGCTGGGGATGTATTTTGGATGTATGGATATGAACTTCTGTTCTAAAACTTTGCTTTGAGGCTAAAAGATGTATAAATATGCCACAAAAATGGTTCCAAGATGAGAGCAATTAGTTGTTTCCCATATGAACGCCTAATAATGATTAAGTTCCGTGTTTTCTTTTATTACTTAATAGAAAAGCGCACCAAATAAATGTTACCGGTTTTAGTAGGACTTAAAAAATACATTTGTTTTGCATTTTCTCGTTTAAGGTAATTTATTTTAACCGAAATGTTACGTGTTCCCAACTATAATCTGAGCAACAGTTCCTGGAATATTGTGTCTTAGTATCAGTGATGGAAAATGAGTGTGCATTGTGCCATTTTCGGCCCTTTCGGAAGCAGCCTTAAGCATAATCGACTGATTTTCGGCACTATATTTGCGTAACTCAAGCAGTGTTGCCACTTTGTGAGTAATTCCTCAAAACGTGACGAATTTCGGGAGCGCTTGAGTATTTTTTGAGGATTTTTATTTTGAGGAATTTTCCCTCGATATATTAGCAGACAACAAATGAAACCATGTTTTACACAAGATAGTTGTTAAATCGCTCTGCAAATTTTTGAACAAAAAACTTTCCGAAGTTTTATAAAGGGCGAAATACACCACACAAGCGGCTTGTCAAACATTCTTCAAACCTACTTTTCCCATTTCGCCATACACCGTGCAAACATGACTCGTTCAAGCAAAGAATTTTAGTTTTCTTCCGGTTTACAATGTAAAAGGGTTTGGTTTTCTTCGATTTTTCTCTCCTGCGTCCTCATTCGGTAAAAATTCCGTTGCGAATGAGGCGATTTTATCATACACAACGTAAGCGGTTTGATCAAACGTCAACATGGTAGCCAGAAACCAAAAAATTTTTATTTTTGTTCACATTTCCCTCAAATGGCTTGTCAAACCTTCAAAAACCACATACACATCTTAAACAGCTTTAATCAAAGAGATATTTCGCTTGGTTTGTCGGGCCGCGTGTGTTGTATTTTTCGCTCTTAAGCACTATTGCATTTGTTGCTAAATATTCAAAATGTTATCGATAATTTTTTTCATTCCATCGTTCTATTTTCCACTTATTTTGAACTTGCAAAATCTCGATAACGAATTGTTTTACCATAAGGATATTCATATTGATTCTTCATTAGATCCAGAAATTTATAGGAAAAAAGTTTTTGAATTAAAGGATTATTCAGGTTCATATAAGTTTCCGAATTAAACAAATTATTGCATTACTTATATAGCCATTTTCTAATGCTTCAGTAGAACGTATATTTAGTAGTTTAAAAATGTTCAGGACAGACTTGAGGACCAGATTGAGCACTGATATAGTTGCAGCAATATTATATGCAAACCAAGGCATAAAAAATAACGGTGATACTTTGTTTGAACCGCAAAAACAAATGTACCAATTGAATTGGAGAATGTAATTAATTTTTGTGCTAAGTACCTGTAAATAGTAAATGAGAAAATTTTGAGTAATTTGTTGGGATTTTGAGGATTTTTCATTTGTTTTTGAAGAATTTGATATATTTTTTGTGGCAACACTGAACTCAAGGCAAGTATCTAATAAATATTTAAAATAAAATAAATATTTTAATATATATTTTATTTCATTTTATTTTTATAATCTGAGCAACAGTTCCTGGAATATTGTGTCTTAGTATCAGTGATGGAAAATGTGTGTGCATTGTGCCATTTTCGGCCCTTTCGGAAGCAGCTAGCACCTTAAGCATAATCGATTGGTTTTCGGTACTATATTTGCGTAACTCAAGGCAAGTATCTAATAAATATTTCTTTCGGACCCGCAATTAAAAAAATTGTTTTTTTACTTTTTATCGTATATGCTTAAACTGATAAATAATATAGACATAGAAATGCAAGCAAAAGAAGCTCGCATTCACATTGTGTATAACCGCTTACAATTTTCGCTTCAACAAATTTGTCGCGATTTTATCTCTAAAGCAAATATTGAGTCACCTTTAATATATACTTTAGATTTAAATAATCATATACCCAATTAGATATTTTTTGTGGAACAGGTGCCGAAATATCTCTTAATAAAGAAAATTTTACAGAAACTGAAATTAAAATTTTTTAATTAAACGCTTTACAATTTGATGTTACGATTTGATGAAACGATTTTGTGCTAAAAATATATATTTTTAGACTTGAATGCTTAGTATTTATTTTTTCAAACGTACAAAATTACATTAGCGCGTATTGTGGCTTATTTGTATTTTCGAGGTGTTAGCTATTGGTGCTAATAATTTTATAATTTTTTGTTATTTTTATAATTTTCTGGAATCGTGATTTTTAGGCATGCACGCCTTTTTTAACAAAGGCAATTAGTTTGATAGATTGTAATTGAAATCTTAGATTATCCATTAAAACAACTGTGAACAATTCGGATTTCCGTGTTTTCTACAGAAATGTTGCCTTATGTGGTCCAGAATACCCTTTGCGTCTCTATTTAGTTATGGTTTGGCGAAATAATTTAAAGAATATCATCAGAGAACGAGCAAGAAAACGCAAACAAACAACAGCAACGTTTCGGTATCGTTTAGTTTCGCTCATACAAGGTAACGAAACACAACAGATTCAAATCACTCGGAAGCATTTGCAGGATCGATTACTAAAATACCGGCATATTTTGTTTAATTTTCCTTGTCTCTTCCCTGACAAGACACCAAATTTTGATGAATCATCTTGTTGCGAACTGTTTGAGAAATATATATCCATTTTATATGATTAGGTGCCAGAAATATGGACAAGTGAAGTTTAACTTTGGAAAAACGCATCGCTGGTATAAATATATTGAAAATTTATTTAAATTTTTGAGTATTTGTAACTACCTCACAGGTGGTCCCATATTAATTTGGTTTGAATCCGATCATCGGATCATGAATAAATTAACGATAATCTTAAATTTTTATATGAGAATTGAAGTCGGTTTTGTTTTTTACCTCCCTTTTATTAGCTCGGGATGTAACTATGTAATATTGATACGCCTAAAAGATGCAGCGATTTCTATTCTCAAGTTACATACCTGATGATAGTACGAATGGAAATTATAATAGCGAGGTTTTAGTTTTTTAAACTATAATTTTATTGCCTAAATATTACTTGTGTCTTATATGTACGACTCCGCGAATGAAAGAACGTTTTCAACTATGCGCCGCCTAAAAACTTATTTGAGATCAGCTACGAAATAAGATCGTCTCAATGTGCTAGCTTCTCTCAATATTCTTCGCAATCTGGATGTTAATGTTGACTCAGTATTAAAAGAATTTGTATTTGTGGTGAATTATACCTTTGTGTTACGTTTGCAGATTTTTTGGGGATGTATCGATGAGCTTTTGTGCTTTTGTGCTTTCAATACATGCTCAAAATGTGAATGTGTAAGTGTGGGCCGACACTGATTTAGATTATTCAGCATATTGCATTTAATTGTGGATATATTTCATCAAACAAATAGTGATGAAACGAAGAATAAAACTACTCATCGATAATTACTATTAGTGCTGCCATATGATATAATTTCGATACGACAATTATGTATTAGTAGAAATGGTAAACTCTCAAGAAGTGTTTACACTGAAATTTTTAATTGTCTATGTAACTATCTTCAAAGTTGAGAACCAGTCAAATTTGCACATAAAGAAAAATCGTCATTGGGTCACAGAACTCGTCAAAACGTCATGGCCCCCCTTGCGGCCGGGCCTGTGTGATATTTTCGACTATAATAGCATCGACATAGGGGTACAGGCTTAGCAAATGTGATGTAAAAATTTGCTCCCTACCGTTAAGGACCACCCTAATCTATATATTTATGTATTATATATATATGTATATGAGGTACTAAATTTTGAGTACGTATTTTTTCTTCTTTCCCCTAGCAAACGAAGTTCCGTGTCTCAATGAACATTGCATATTTGCAGCTAATGAAATATTGAGATCTATTGACAGAAGAATCGATCCATGCGATGATTTTTATGCTTATGCGTGGTAAAGAACACATTTATGGCTTAACAAACTCTCACTTCCTTAATTAATTCTTTATCCGACAGTAATAATTGGATAAGAAATAATCCAATTCCAGAAGGCAAATCAACATGGGGTACTTTTGGAAAATTAGAACAAATGAATCAGCTAATTATACGAAATATATTAGAGAAACCACTGAAGGAATATAAGTCAGAGGCTGAAAAGAAGGCAAAAATTTACTATGAATCTTGTTTGGATAAAGAAGAAGAGATGGAGAAATTGGGTGCTAAACCAATGGTTGATTTACTGTGGAAAATCGGCGGCTGGAATGTGACAAAAAGTGGATTTAACATTGAAAAATGGAATTTGGCTCATACGTTGAAAATTTTACAAAACAAGTACGTATTCTTTATAGAAATATATGGGCAAATCTAAAAAACAGGTAACCTTTGCGTTGTTTAGCTATATTTTCATTGTTGTAAACTATATCAAGCTCGTTGCTTTTGGATATAATTCATAGACGTATACTTGAAGCCATGATAAAAACATAACAAGGTAAAACCATTGAGAGGCAATCTGACGTTTGCCAGCAATGTAATTTAAAAATTCAAAACTCAAACTCACACACACATTCCCATTTTCAATCTCAAACAACAACAATTGTGAACAATTTAATTTTTTTATTCTCAATTTTATATGATTTTAAAATGCTGGCAAACGTCAGAAAAAAATCATGGCCGACGAATTGAGAGAATGAATGAATTTACCTTGTAATGTTTTTATCAAGTTTGAAGCCTTAAAAATATTTTGAATCAATTTGTTGCATAACTTTTGAGTTATAGATGTTTTCATTCAAAAAAATATTAAAAACAAGTGAATTTTTTGTTTAAATTTTAAGAGGTGAAAAGTAAATTATGTCATAACTTTTGAAGCACACCATATACTGGTTTGAAATTTTATGGGCAATTAGTACTTATGTGGACACTTCATATGTAGTAGGTAACTATAAAGTGTGCTTTAAAAAATAACTAAATGGCGAGTAACTCCAAGTTTGTAACTCTACTTTTCACAATTTTCAAAATTTTTGGTTTATACTTTTTGAAGCGTTTCATTTTAAAAACTTCTACAAACAATTACGAATGATTTGATACCTTAGCAAGAGGAGTGCTTTCAGAACAAACCAACGTTTAAAGATAAAATATTCTGCGATCTTGAGCGTAATTTTTATTCCAAAAACATATTAACTGAAGGCATATTTGGAAAATACGTCGAAACGATCTAATTCTTTTTATAACTACTAGTCATTATAACGTTACGTACTCCTGTAAAATGCTTCAAACAAATTTTCTGTAGAAGTGTGTAAAACTTTTAATGATGCTCCTTCTTGTAGTCAGAATATTTGGAGCGTGGTATCAAATCAACTTGCTTTCGACAAAGGTTCTGATCTTTTGCAGATATTTTAAGCCTAATCCGTTTTGTCATCTGAGAGGACTTTTTTCAAAAAGTTCTTTAAGAAACTATTTTTATTCATAAAAAATACCATGTTTGGAGGTATTTTCAAATCGGTCCAGCTCGCTTAAATCTTAATATTTTTCCGAAATGTTTTGGTGGACATCTTAAAATATAATAAATTTTGCAATCTCGGCGGAAAAACCGCAACTATTTTTGGTGATGCAGTATAATGTACATGCTTATGTGAAAAACGGAAAACTTGCAGTCCCGAATCGCAAGCCAATATTCATAAGCACTTATACCTCTTATACGTATACAAAACACCCAGTAGGAAAAATTTGCTCAAAGTTCTACGCTGCCCAGTAGGAAATTTATAAGCGGAAAAATGTTAACGTTCTAACGCAATCTGTGCGAATTTTTCGGTAATTTTTTAAATTTTGCGGCCCCAGCAAAGTTTAGTAACCCCTTTCAGCTACCCAGTAAAAGGAAACCAAATTTTACGTCAAAAGTGTAAAGGGAAAGTGCGTTTGCACTATTATTAGCTGCTGTAATACCTTAAACATCCCGTGCCTAACGTACAGTTTCGGTACTGTTTTCTTAGTTTCTCTCCGTTTTCTGCCCCTAAACGAAAACCAAAACGGTTTTTTTTCTCTGGTTTTTTCTTGTAAAACAAATTTTGTCACACGTCACTGATAACCCTTTCTCATACGGCAAATTTGTTTAATAAAGCAGAAAGCTATTCACTTATTTCCTCAAATTCCGTTGTTTGATTTCTCGGTCGCGAATCTACTCCAATTCTTTTATAATGCCTCTCGAAAGAAGCCCAAAAAAGACCTCCTTAGATGTCGAGTTTTTTACGCAAACTGATGCGCCAAAGACTCCGGAGATAGAAATTCACTCGGAAAACCAAAAAAGGTAACACCGAGTGTAACGGCGTCACGTAACCAAAAGGAACGCGAATATGACTTATTCATGGTACATTTCTGTACCAAATTTTCTTCACTCTCCATAGATGGACTAACGGTGCCCTTGCTGAAATATTACCGGGAGGACATAGACGAATACTATGCGGAAGTTAAGCGAGCATATCGGAAGGTGTCGTTGGCTGCAGATGGCGAACTACCCCCAACGTTCCTGGCTACTAGGCCAGGAATAAAATGGAGCTGTGCAAGGAGCGGGCACACAACGTCATGGCCCAAATTTCGGATCTTATGGACGTGCAGATGGCCCAAATGTGCGAAACGTCTCGTGTAGCAGAGAAACCCCCTTTTCCGGTAAAGGAGCAGGAAAATACCATTAGGTGCCTGAATGTCCCACCCTGTGACACCGAAACTTTCTCCGGAGGTTACGAAGAGTGACCATCCTTCCGTGACATGTTCACGGCAGTTTATATTAATCACCCCAAACTTACCCCTGGCCAAAAATTGTATCATCTCCGATACAAAACAACCGGTTAAACAATACGGTCTTTGTGGTGAAAACTTTATGCTTGCATGGAATTCCCTCAAGTCCCGATATGAAAACAAAAGAATCCTGGTCGACAAACAGATTAAAACTCTTCTTTTTCTATCCCAAGTGCATTTTGAAAACAGCGAAGCATTACAGACGCTTCGAAATTCCATCGACAATTCTCTGTCTGTCTTAAATTCTCAAGGCGTCCCGACAGAGTATTGGGACCCAATCCTGATATACATGTGCTCGTCGAAGCTACCCCAAGAAACGTTATCTTTGTGGGAATAATCCCTAATTTCTCGCAAAGACCTCCCAACCTGGGAGCAAATGAACGAGTTTCTTACAAAACGATATGAGGTAGTAGAGCGACTTCACGGCATGAAACAAATCAGGCCCGGGTTTGTTCAGAATCGGAGTCACAACAGAACTCAAAACTTTTATGTTGAAAGCAACACGACGAACCCTTGTCCTATGTGCAATGGAAATCATCCCCTTAGATTTTGTTTCGAATTCAAGAAGTTGTCTGTGCGTAATAGATATAAGGTGGTCCGATAAAATCAGCTGTGCGAAAACTGCTTCTCATTCTCCCACTTAAGAAGTGACTGCTAAAGTCAAAATACGTACGCAGTTTGCCATAGAAACCATCATTCGTTACTCCATGTGACCACTCACAATGATCAAAGCCAACAGGAAAAAACCGTATCGCAAGCATCCAACCGCCAAACACGAAATCCGGCAGCTCAAGGAAACCATAACAGATCACAAACACCCACAAACGCGACTAACAATTCTCAGTCACCCACCACAGGTGCAATCCATGCACACAGTAAACGAAGGAAAAACTCTACTTCCAACAGCTCTCGTCTTAATAGAGCAAGTCGGAGTACTGCATAAGGTTCGAGCTCTCATCGACCAAGGTTAACAAAAAACTTTCATCACCTCGAAAGTGAAAAATCGCCTAAGGCTCCCCACCCGAAAGGCCCAATACGAAATTTCCAGAATCAAAATTCCAGCCATATATGTTCCGTGAAGCAATCGTCCTTCCACAATTGACTAGACTTCTTCCTACCTTCAGTATTGAAAAACCCGATTGGAATCAATTCGCCATGTTGGACTTCTCAGACCCCAACTATTTCCAGCAAGCCCAAATCGATATGATTATCGGCAGTGATCTGATCCCTCAGATCATGCTCAGTGTTATACATCGCAACATATGTGGAAGCCTGCTCGCGCAAAATACCATATTTGGATGGATCATAAGTGGACCCATGAATTGTGAGGTGTCAGTGTTCTCGACACAAGTGGAAGAAGTTTCTAACGAACTCCTAGTACACAACTAAGACAGTTCTGGGAGCAAGAAGAACTGTATCACCCTGTACCGATCTCAGAAGAGGATATAGCATGCGAGAACTACTACCAAAGGACCACATATAGTGGGCCAGATGGTAGATATATGGTGAGACTCCCCTTCAAATCAAGTTTCCCAAACTTGCATGCGTTAGGCCAATCCCGTAGCTATGCCTACAGCCAGTTGATCAGTATGGAGAAAAATCTCGCCTGAAAAGGCAATCTCAAAGCCATTTGCGACGAGGTCTTAGAAGAATATCTTACGATGGATCACATGGAACCATGGAACCAACCAACTTGCAAGAAGTCGCCTCCGATATCAAATATTTCCCCATTTTATTTGCCACATCATGCTGTAGTCGGACCTAATAAAACAACTACAAATGTGCGCGTTGGTTTTAACGGCTCTAGGAATAATAGCTCTGGGTATTCCCTCAACGATATCCTGCACGTTGGTCCCGCTCTTCAATCCGATCTAATGTCCCTGATATTACGGTGGCAATTATATCAATTCGTTTATAATGGAGATATAGAGAAGATGTGCCGACAAATCCGTGTTCATCAAGATGACCAACTCAAGAATTCAAGACTTTAGGCTGGAAACGGTTACATTTGGAGTAAACTGCGCTCCATTTCTAGCCATTAGAACCCTTCAACAATTGGCTAAGGATTCACGCAACAGGTTCCCACTCGCTGAACAAGTGCTTCAGCGAGACACTTATGTAGACGATATTTTACCAGGCAGGTATACAATTCCAGATTCTGTGAATAAATTATCAGAAGTAATAAAGGCATTTATGAACATTGAAACACAGTGTATACAACTGTGTTTGTTTAACCTTTATCTCGAAAACCGAAGCCAATCTGGTAAACCGGAGGATGCCATTGAATTTAGAATGTCCCAATTAAGTAAGTTCAGCTTTCAAAATCATTTCTGCAAATTTAAAACTTGCACAGTGTAATTAGAACCCAGCTTATTCATTATTCATTATTAAGAGATTACGAATAGAATCATATATAAAACGTAGGTGTGCCCACAAACTAAAGAATTAAACTTTTTGTTTTGGAAGTGTACCTGTTTTTTAGATTTGACCATATAAGTATTATGGAAATCAAAATTCACAAATATATAAATACATATGTACAT